ACTGAGTGCTTTTCAGGAGACCTTCTATATGGGAGTTCACTAGATCGCATGAAGAAAACAACATCCTCACACAAAAGTTTTCATTATGTGGAATATTTCTTGGACACTAATCCTTAACGAAGATCAAATCAAGGCCAAGTATAAAACGGGACTTTCACTTTTCCAAACATGAAGTATAATTTCATCAAAATATACTAATTTGGCAGAATTAGTACAAGGTTTGAAAAAAGCACCACATAGGTTTTCACCAAATGTTTCACAAATACACAGTTTTAACTGAAGAAACACCATCTACCATCACTGTATAACAGAACATATATTTCTAATAATACTTTGGTAGAAACCCAGTTTTTACACTGGAGTTGCAAGGCATATTCTTCTTCTCTTTTGAAAGACAATTTAGAGAGTAAATGTATGACAAACACTTTAAACACAATGTTTGGTTAGCTTACTTGTACATCTAACCAACTCCATGTACTTCCAAAACTCAAAAACAGTCTCTAAAAGATGTTATTTATTTAATTTATTTTTTCCTCAAGAAAACTACTCCACTAAGTCACTTAGGTCCATTTATTTTTTTTTTAACATAGAATACAAAGAAAAATTTATTGTTGATTTCCAATCAACATGGAAATCAATATGCTGAAAATGTTTTCCCTGCTAACATTCTAGTCAAAGAGATTTTTAAAAGCTGTAATATGGTTGCAAAATTATAAAACCTAAGTGGCATAAAAATTAAATGATAACTCCCAGAAACTAAGAACACAAAAGCACCAGTCAACTTTCTCAAAGGATAATTATGAAAATTAAGAAAATTAATGGATATCTTATTCTGTCACTCCTTACCACAGATCGTTATTTTTATATCAGCTTATGAAAATACTGATAATGGACACACCATTAGACAAAAAGCATTAGCATAGATGGACTAAGCCTCTTCCAGTATTGCAATTCCCAGACTTTAACCCACAGTTATATCAAACTATTTTCCTTTCCTTAATAATTATTTTTGAAATGTCAATATATGTAATAACAAGGCAGAAAGACTCATACCCTTTAATGCAGTAGTCTTCTCTTTTTCATCTGGGCCTCCTTGCTGGAGCTGAGCCATCATTACCCAAACTGTCAACAGATTTAAAATAATGAGGTAAATGTACATTAATCTTCAAAAGACAATCTGAAATCAAGAAGAGTTGGAAATTAACAAATTACTGACTTCTACTTCAACAGATCTCATTTGCTACTGCTTTCATCACAAAAAATCAGAACTTGTTCTAAAAGCAAAACTTTCTTGAGTATTATAAACCCCTATGATATGCACGGTAAAATTAAAATTAACTTCTTCCTCTCCTTCAAAACTTACACTAGACACTCTGAAGTCTTATCAGACTATTCTGGATTAAGACGTTATACAACAAAGTGTGACACACACTCCAGTATCAAGTTTGGTCAAAGATTCAAGTTCACGAGAACGAACACTAATTTCTCCCTAATTCTAAAAGGACATCTATCTAATTGATACTTCTTTTTTGTGATTCTAATGTAACATCAGCAAATGATAAGCCTTTTGGAGAAGCACCACACTTGTAAGTCCACAGTAGAAGATACAAGAAAAAACAAAACATAATCATCAGAACTTCCACAATTTTTAAGGATTTTCTTCATCAATTAACTCCACTTTATTGTTCTTACTGTACTATACAGTTTTGTTTTAGTAAAACTACACAGAGTACACAGTTTTAAACCACTGTGATTTCTACAATACATTATCAACCTTGAAATGTATAGAATAAATGTCCTGCTGTAGAATGAACCTCAATATATTCAAGGTAAAAATTTACACACAAAATATATTTCTAAATTTCTCCTGTTGCACAGAAGGCAACCCAGACATTCAAATCTGCTATCTCTTTCATCTTCAATCTGACACCAAGGGAGCAAACTACCACATCACAATCACTGCTTCTTCCTTCTCAATAAAGACTTCTGTGCATTGAATTTTTTCCCCCTTTATCTTTTTTGGTTCTTTGTTTTATCTGTCAGTCATTACCAATTTGTTTTATTCTTCTCCCCAATATACTTTATCATGGATGAGTTTGCATGAACTGTATCTCTGCAGCAATTTGTAACTTTCAAACAAAGAGTAATAGGGTTCACCAACTGTATTGCTGGCTCGCTAATACTTAACACTTGTAAGAAAGACCCAAAAATGGTTTCTTTTAAGTAACAGTAGTTCACTGTAAAGGCAGCATAAAAAAATTAAAAATAAATAAAGCATAATAAAGACTATTTTTCTATTGTCTTTAGAGAAAACCTATTACATGAAACATTTACTTGTAGATTAAGGAAAAATACAGCAATTTAAGGGTGTGATTAACTAAGGAGAGGGTTTTTTTTGGGGGGGGGTGGGGTTGTTTGTTTGTTTTAAGTTGGGGTTCAAGAAAGTCCAATAATCCATTCTACAAGTTGGACCTGCAGGAGACTCTGACACCTTCCTTTGCAGAAGGCTGTTAGATTAATCCCATGGGAAATGACAGTACACTGCCAAAAGTCTTTTAAAAACACAATTCCACCAAGAAAGCTCTGCTTAGATTGTGTAATTTACAACTTGCGACACAACTCAACATGATTCAGTTAAAATGTGCATCTTTTGGCTAACACTTCAATCACTTTAGCACGCATAACCAAAGTAATGAACAAAAATAACAGCAAAGCCACAGAGACTTTTTTTTTATTTTCTAGCGTATAATGTAGTCAATGTAAATATTAAAATGACTTAAATGTTGATTCACACATGTGGATGGTATTAAAGAGTTTTCTCAGACGCTTCCAAATAGTGCACTGGCAAAAGATCACCAAATACAAAAACTTGTCCATCATCAGTTTGTACATTTGCAGCACAAAACCACATACATACTTGTAAATCATTTAGAAAAGAAACTAACCTATTCCAGTTAAAATTATTAGAAGTGCTAGAAAATGACAGTGATAGTGTTTTGTGATAGCCCAGATGAAAATTTTTCTAATCATACAAATTGGGTAGTCCTCCCTATACAAGATTTGAAAATTTATATTTGGGTATAGGTAAGTTAATGCAGTTACAAAATACATATAGGTGCTCAAAGACTTGTTATTACCCAAGGGAAGAAACACAAAATTTATCTGAACAGATTTACCTTGATAAACTAACCCCCATCCCCTAATCAGGTAAATCGATGCAGTGACCAAGAATCCCTGGCGTTCTTGCCTCTACAATGGATACCCTTCTTCCTTTAACAGATGAAGACCCTGCCACTGAGGAAAGAGTAGACAACTTAACAGGTTCACTTGCCAAGCTAGAAGCATCAAAATAAACAAAAAAAACCAAATAAATGGGAATTTAGCTTTGAGAGAGAGAATTTCCAATTCTTTTTGACAACGTAAAAAACTGTTACAGCAGCCACTGGAGGGAGGACTTGATATTAGAATGAGGATGAAACAAGCACACAGTATTTTATGCATTGTTTGTGTGAACACAGCATTTTGTTGAATCCCTCACTGATATTTGTTTAAATGACAAATAGAAGAAATTAGATGAGAAGGTTGGATTTCCTTTCTTTGACAGACAGGTGTCTAATCAACTACAATCTGATGGTGCAGAAACGAACAGTGGGAAAATTATAAAGCTCTCTTAATGGTTGCTTAAAGGCAAATGCAGGAATTACAGTTTATTCTAGGCATCAGTTTAAAGCCCCAGTGATCTTAAACTGCATACACTCCACATAATTCACAAATACCATCATCAAGTTTCTTGCAATAAATACAGATTATTTTAAACGTGTTATTCTGTACAATTACTTAGATGATTCTTTTAAGAACAGCTTTTCTGTAATTGTTTTTTGCATTAGCTACAGCAAGCATACTTCCTAAAAAAGAAGTTACTGTTTCACCTGAAGAACTACTTACAGTAAATAAGTTTATTGCCAAGAGAATGCATATTTATTTGTATTTATCTTGCTCTCCCATGCAAACTTGAGATATTCTATCACAAAATATCTTATGCATATTCTGTGCCTCTTCAATTCAATGCCCAGCAATAATTAAAATAATTTGACAGCAGAAATAGTCTGGTTTTACGGTTTCACATGAGACAACAAGGCTGCATTTTCATCATATCCCTATTAATGCAACTACAGAACTGATGGATTCACAAACAAATGGTCATTAAATTTAAAACAAAACAAAACAAAAAACAACCAAATCCAACAGACTGTTGCACACTTAAAGGGAATATATGTATTTATTTCATGTTCTGGTTTGTAAAGTGGTACTGGAAGTTTGGACCACCAACCTTGTGACTGTCTAACAGTGTTAGTCTTCAAATCAAACTAGACACCGTATCATATATTCCCACTCTGAAACAAATGCACACATACACAGATTTCACAGACTTCAATTATTCTTCATGGTGTAAATGCAGCTAGAAATGTGGCAAAAAAATGTAGTATATGATTTTGCACTACACTAGCAATACCTGAAATTTAAGTCACTGCTACGAATGTTCCAAATAAAGGCTATAAATAATTGTAGCACTAACCCACCACAAGTGCAACATAAGAAGAAAACCCACAAGTATTTTCAAACAGCACAAGTCCATCAAGTTTATCTGGACATAATCTGAACAGGAGTCATCAGAATGCTTCTTTGTATTGTACTGCTTTATTAGAATACAGTTGAATTAGAGTCTTGTTCTCTGTAAACTGACATCCCAAGCAAGCTAGGGACAAGTATGGGTTAGATTTGTGCAATGTGGCTGATGACTGAGTAAGACCCAGTTTTTCTTCAAAGAGATGGCTGGGTGACAGTTTGGCTCTAGTCCCTTCTCTGTATTGGCTCAGCAAAGCAAAAAATACATACTTTAATCTTAGTAGTATTTTCTGTCTAATTAGATTTTATCTATTGCTGCTTTTAGGGCACTATAGATGACATCAGTAACAACTGCTTCAATTAAGGTTGTACTGCACTTTCCTTCACTTATAAGACCTTATTTTCAACTGCTTATAGGTTTGCCAAACTTCAGCTCTGAAAGCCAATTATTTCCAGTCTGCTTTAGACTAAACGGTTTTTAAAAAGTTCAGCTAAAACGTCTACCTCTTTTATAAAGAAGAAGGTTCAGAGACAGTATCTTCTGCTCAGTTCTGCTGATGTTAATGAGCAGCTACAGCATCTCCATGTTGCAGAGATCAGAAATTTAGCCAGAGGATCAGCTTAGCAGTGTGTGCCTCTTACCATTACCCCTAAAGACTGCCCAGATCTGCTCAAGTAGAAATTGCTTTTTGCACACATTTAATATAGACTTATTAAGACTTATCAGAATCTCAAAAAAATTTACCTATTTGCCTAAAGCATGCTCCATACAGCTGCAAAAAGCCAGAGGGAAGATGCACAGGAGGGGACTAGTAAATGGTGGAAGAGAGGGGGATCTTTAACCACTAGAATACAAAGAAACTGGCAAGGATCCCAAAGTCCCTGAATCTCAGCACATCTTCACATTCTACCAAATGGTGGCAGAACCTGCTGATAAAGTGCATGACTGCAGCCGACACTAAAGGTTGATTTATTTGCACAGCAGCTACTTTCCAGTGTTCTTACCCCATAAGCTCAAACAGCAGAGGACTACGAGCTATATGCATTAGCGTCCCAACCGTGTCAGCAACTCAGCTGTTTACACAGGGCAGAGTCAACACAATTCCACACACTGAAATTTTAATTATTTCAGTTTCACTTTCTTGAAATGCTGGAAATGACCTTCATAAACATATGCATGTAAACATGATCAAATAAATATGTCAAAATAATACAAAAAGAGGCAGCACAACCTCTGGGAGGTTTACAATATGATGGTCTTATCAACATAACACGAGGTTCAAAATGATCACCGAGAATTCTTCTGTAGTAGCAACAGCTTTGAATACACGTACTGGTTTTGTCTGGGATAGAGTTAGTTTTCTCCATAGTAGGTAGTATGGGGTTTTGGATTTGTGCTGAAAACAGTGTTGATAACACAGGGCTGTTTTAGTTATTTCTCAGCAGCACTTACACAGAGTCAAGGCCTTTTCTGCTTCCCACCATGCCCCACCAGCAAGTAAGCTGGGGGTGCACGAGAAGCTGGGAGGGGGC